CCTCTGACCCCCAAGACCTGCTGGAACACATGACCCTCAGACAGGCCACAGTGTCTGATCAGAGACCTCTCTGCACCCTTAACACACTCAAGTGAACTCAGGAGGACAGTCCAGCTTCCAGCAGGTCCAGACAGTCACTGGTCAGTGCGGCTGGTCCAGACCACATGCAGCAGTGTGAGGCTGTGTTCAGCGTCACGTTGCTCTTGTTCTGAAGTCACGTGGTTTGAACGCTCCTTCATTGGTCCATGTGTTGTTCTGGACGCTGTCTGTCTGAAACGCGGCCGGACCTCCGCCTCCCTCTCGTCTGTTTACGGCAGTGTGTTTGTGGGACGCTTCGTCTCGTGAAGTCTCGCGTGGTCTCCCAGTATCGCGGTAGCTGGTGTTAGCACAGCCGCTAGCACTGAGCTAACGTGAAGCAGCGGAGCGGACCGACGGACCCGCGCAGACATGAGCGTCCGCTGAGCCGCCGCCCGCAGGCAGCTGCCCACGGACACCGCGGTCACCTCAACATGGATCTGAAGACGAAGGATGGATCTCCCGCGGAGGACGGGGAGCTGGAGGACGGAGAGATCTGCGACGACGAAGCCGAGGAGAGTGTGCCGACACGGCGGGGGGATGGGAGCAGGCCCGGCGGCGCTGCTCCGCGGAGCCGGAAGCCGCACCAGCACCCGCACGGCCTGCTGCCGCACCTGGGCCACCCGCCGCCGGACCTCCGCCTCATCATGCCCTACGGCCTCGGCCCTCACCTCGGCCCTTTCCCCCCGAACCACCGGCAGCAGTGCGGGCCGAGCGGCCCGGACCGGCCTCCCGCTCCCTCTCCGCCGCCGCCGCCGGCGCTGCCTCCCGGGCTCGGTCCGCACGGCGAGCCAAGCCCGCGGTCCAGCTTCTGGGAGCGGAGCCACGGAGCCCTGGGCCGCTTCAGGCACCGGGTCGTGCCGAACGGTGGACGCGGGGCCTGGAGCCGCGGCGGCCGCGGGGGGAACAGCCGCGCTCCCCCCGGTCGCTACGGCCCCGGAGAGAGTCACGGCTCCCCCCAGAGGAAACGTATCCTTCCCCGCAGTCTGTCACTTCTGGAACCGGAGGAGTCACCGGAGACCGAGAATCAATTACCGAGCTCCAGAGAGCCGAACCTCGAGCCGAGCTTAGCCGAAACAGGCCGAGGCAGGATTACTGAGGGCAGTCGGGTGAAGGGAAAAGGGACAGGTAACAGGACAGGTAACAGGGTAGGTAACAGGGCAGGTAACAGGACAGGTAACAGGGCAGGTAACAGGAGAGGTAACAGGAGAGGTAACAGGACAGGTAACAGGGCAGGTAACAGGAGAGGTAACAGGGTAGGTAACAGGACAGGTAACAGGACAGGTAACAGGGCAGGTAACAGGACAGGTAACAGGGCAGGTAACAGGACAGGTTCAGCTGAGCCTCATCAGTCGGTTTTATTTCTGTATCACATCAGCTTTTATTCTCTAAGGTGATCCACATATTCATCGCTAGTCTTTTAAATCGATCAAACATGCGATCAGCCGTCGTTCCACCTCATCAGGACGTCTGACTGAGTTCTTCATAGATCAGAGCTCGCTGAGACGCTTCACGGTGTCGTTAGGAGACGTTTTACCAGGTGCCATATTTTAAACATTTAATTATATAGTTTTCATGAGACTAATATTAACACTTTCAGATCTGTTCTTATTTCTACAGATAGTGATTCTGTATGTGTGGGTTAGGGTTACCAGCAGCCATAGAACAGAACCAGAAATGTTCTAGAGGTGGGTGAGAACAGTCAGTGATGCTGGTTAGAGCTGCACGGACAGGGGAGGAGCCCAGTGCATCATGGGAATCCCCCGGCAGTCTGAAGCTTCAGCAGCATCACTGAGGGACAGGTCAGGAGATCCTGAGCAGCTCTAAGCATCAGCTTCATCACAGGACCGGTTTCATCCTGACCCTGCAGGAGGGAGGATTTTCATTTGAGTGTATCAAAGTAACCAGACCACCTCATGACTGATCAGTTGATCAGCTGATCAGTAGCTGATCAGCTGATCAATAGCTGATCAAACTGTTCCAAATGGTGTTTCTCTGGGGCAGTCCTGAATATTTCTGTTCTCACGGTAAACCAATGAAGCGATCTGACTTGTGATGCTGCACCGTCACAGGAACCTGTTCTACGTGTCTCTGACCCATTATTGATTGAAGTGATCAGCTGATTGATCCATACGATGGTTTCCATAACAGCTGCTCTCAGAGAAGCCTCTGGGGAGGAACCGGCCCAGAAAAGTTCTTCACAGTGTTTCCAAACCAGAGAACAGTGTGGACGAGTCCTTCGAGGACCTGCTGTCCAAGTACAAGCAGATCCAGCTGGAGCTCGAGTGCATCCGTAAGGAGGAGACCATGGCGTTGGAGCCGTCGGCGCCACCGGGTGACACCGCCGGGCTCCAGGATGCCCAACCAGAACCAGCCCAGAGCCCGGCCGCAGCAGAGGGACCGTCAGAGCCGGACCGAGCCGAGAGGAAAGTGTTCCAGGCCTTCAACATCAAACCGCTGCGACAGAAACTCCCCACAGCCAACCTGGACCAGCTGCAGAGGAAGTGGGTGGAGCAAGGCAGAGGGGGTGGAGCTAGCACAGAAGGTGAGTCCTTATCAGGAAGTTTACCTGCTGCAGGACAGACAGACACAGACAGACAGANAGTTAGCGGTAGTTAACTACAGTAAGCTACAGTTAGCTGTAGTTAGCTGTAGTTAGCTACAGTTAGCTACAGTAAGCTGTAGTTAGCGGTAGTTAGCTACAGTAAGCTGTATATAGCTGTAGTTAGCTACAGTAAGCTGTAGTTAGCGGTAGTTAGCTGTAGTTCCCCAAAGTTGCAGTCGTGGGGTTTCATCTGCTGTCCTGTTTGTATCAGACTATTTAAATGTGCTTCTTTTCACGTCAGTGGTCAATAAATACATCTATAAACCTTCCTATTCGATGTGTTTGTGGCAGATTTCTGGTGAAAACCTTTGAGCACCTCTGGGACACAGACACACGTGTTGATGAGTCGCTCCTGCAGGTGGCGCTGCTGCACCATGTTTTTATTAAAGTGAAGCAAACTGTAAAAATGTACAAATTATGCCCTGCATTAAAACTGTGAACGCTTTAATGTTCCAGCTGATCAGTCAAATAATGGAAAATAACTCGTGAACACGCTGTGGGTTTTTCTATGTTTGAAATCCAGTTTCTGACCTTAGAATTAAATAATGTGGATTTCTGTCTTTTTGATGTTAATGAAGAATATTTACATGTACAACCAATAAAATGACTGATAAACTGCTAGGATACATTTATAATATGAATAACTGGGCTTCTATTTTATTGTCATTATTATTATTACTGAGTGTCATATAGGACGTTTTCATTTAGAGCTTCTATTATTTATTTCTATTATTATTAATTATATCACACTTGCTGTGCATTTTGCATTTTATATTTGCTTATTTTTCTTATTTATCTGCATTTATGGTGGTTTCACTCTGTCTGCTGTAACAACCAAGCTTCCCCTTGTGGTTTAATAAAGTATTTCTATTCTGTCTGTTTTTGTTTACATTGTACACTAGTGACTGGTCAGCTCCCAGCAGAACCAGTATGTGGTGAAATTCTCAGACTAATACTTGGTCTGCTGAAGATCAGTGACAACTGAAGCAGCCACAGATGTGGAGGGGAGGGTTCTGTTCACTGGTCACCACCTGCAGACCAGCACAGGGAACCAGTGGAGGTACTGGTGCAGCCCGGGGCAGTGGGAGGCCGCACACGGGTCGATATAAACACCTGGTGGACACCTCGGTAATGATCTCAGCTGTCTGTGTCTGAATCCACCAGCGCCTGCATTTCCTCCGTTGGTGGACGTACACATGATGCTGATTTATTACAGAGCAACAGCTGAGTCTGGTACCGTAC